CTTTAACCTTAGGCTTGCATATCGTATGTGCCACTCAGAAATAACTTTTGCCGCACTTTGTCGCGGTTACGAGACCTTTTAGAGCGCACTTTTCCAGATAATTGTGGTTCCATTTGAGGCTTATTTCTAGTACCGCCGTAAATTGCCGATTGTACACCAAAGGCGCACTCTCAAAAGTTTCGAATAACTCAGTCTTCAGCGTCGTTCATTGGTATTATAGTTTGTAATGAGATAGCTATAGATATGCGTTTGTTATGAGAAAAAGCAACCGGGTACCCATGCTGTACACTTTATTCAAACAAGAAATATTACACTCTAAATTTCTTAGAATAAAATCTTACTCTCCAAGAAAGTAAAAATACAACCACTCTTTGGAAAAATGAATGATAATTTTCTTTTCTAAGCGACTTTTTCAGTGACAATTCAAGCATATAACCTTGTGCTTCAAATTATGTTTGTTATGATAATATTTTATAGTAAAACTTACTATATGAAATTTTTGTTTATACATATATGTGATAACTACATATGTGTATAATATAGTTACATGAATGCATGTCATTTGTGATGCTTGTAATTCAATGTTGAAGCAGCTGTAATTTGCTATAATGGTTAAATAATTATAAATTTATTAATAATTTATTAATAATTGTTTCCAAAAATGACTATATTTAAATTATTAAATAAATTCAATCATTGTTTTTCTCGTAGTGTGTTTTCGTAAAAAAACAAAAATCTCTCTCTCTCTCTCTTTGAATTAAAATTAAAATATTATATCTTAAATCAAGACTAAAGAATTCAACAATTTTCGTTTGTTATTGTTAATAATTATCAACTCACTTATTCTAAACTTATTATATAGATTTTTAAATAAATATAATGGAAACTTCTTGTGAATCAAATTTAATTATATTTTATGTTGAAACAATTAAATATCTTGAAATTCACGCAGAAAAAATACTTTTCCTGAAAGAATTTAAAAATTTTATTAAATATTGAGAACAATTTTACTGAATCATCAAAATAATTACTTAGAAATCTCAAGCATAATGAGATTTTGAATATAAAATATTTTGACATTCTAACAACTAATAGTAACAAGTTGCAACAACTGCAGCGTCCTATACATAATTATTTGGTGGTTCAAGAACATTTATTTTCATCTGTACTAAATTTCTACTTTAGCCAAATTAAATTGTTTTTTCAAGAATCAAAGAATTTAGCAAGAAAAATTAATTTCTCATTTATGATTAAAAATTTTGATAAAATCATAAAATCAAACAATTGTATTACACTCTCTAAAAAAAAAAAACTATCGAATCACGGTTACAGGTGTGGCCGATTCGACGAAATACCATCACAGCTCGAATCACATAACAGGATTCAATCTAGCGGTCTGTTTCACGTTTTACTTGCCAAACGAGATGCTGTACGTCGACGTGACCTCGGCAGAGCTTTGGTTCTACAAGGAACAGGTCGAAAACGACGATGAGCTCAAGCAGACATTCGTGCTATCTGAACTCGATCACTGGGACCAGGGTGGCAGATTCGAAAAGAACACCGTCATGGCAATCTTTGAGACCGATATCAGAGGTGGGTAAATGGCAGATGGAATCTCTCTCTCTCTTTCTCTCTCTCTTGCTCTCTTTTTCTCCTCCCGTATACCCTCCTGCAATCTTTATCCATGTTTGTCAGAAACGAATCCGTACCGCATAATAATAGATATCTTACACTGTGAAATTTTGTTATATTGCACAAATTTTGCAAATCTGTCCTCCGTTGCACATTGCAATTTCATCTTTTACAGAAAATTCGATACGTATGATAAGAGATAATTTTCTCATATCGCAATATCTCGAACGATTTCTAACATCGTTTAATACCTATCAGTATAAGATGTGACTAAAAATCGATTGCTGAACGTTTAAATTAAAATTGTAATAAGAAAATTTACACGTTAGAAAATATCGCGCTTTAAAAATCGTGAAGTGTAAAATTGCTCAAATTATGACAATAAATTAAAAAATTTTTTATTCTACATATAGTAATGGAATGCAATCGAATTAGAACGGAATTTAGATGCATAAAAAAAAATATATATATATATTAGGGACATTAGTGAACAAACTTTTAAGCGGTAGGTAGTGTATGTAATGTTTGCAATAAGTTGTATTTTCTGTAAACCTTCATGAAATTTTATGACTTCTCTGATGCGGCATGCGACACTGCGCATATTAAAAAATCGACATAATTTTTTCAGAAGGTTGGGTAAAGACAGACATGAAATTTATGGTGAAGAAATGGATTAGTCGGCATCGATTGCACCACTCCATCCAAATAGTCTGCACGACCTGTTCGACCGATCACGGTAAAGCGCCTGTGTCCATCGAACAGACTCTGAAGCCGTTCCTAGTAATCCATACGGAGCCGTTGCCGCAACGGAATAGGCCCAAGAGGCACTCGAATTGCCTACCCGAAATGACGGAGTGTTGTCGGGACGAGCTCTACATTAATTTCGGAGATATCGGTTGGAGCGACTGGATCTTACATCCCAGCGGATATCACGCGTATTTCTGCCGAGGGTCCTGCTCCACGGCGGCATCTGTAACCGTCAGCGGTTCCCAATACAACAACGTTATCATGGTGAGCATAATACGACTCTCGCACTCTTATATCATTGATGTTTGTGATACAATAAGTCTATACTTTTTAGTTAAACTTCTAGCATGATTCATCTTTTTCCTTTCACGTTCGAGAGAAAAAGAAAAAAAATTAACTGTGGATAAGAAATTAAACAGAATAGACCTTGGGTCTAACAATCAGACACCAATCACTAATTTGATCTAATTTGAGATAATTAAGAAGGTTTTTTCTTACGAGCAATATTAACGGCACTAGTATTTAATAATATTAATACGTAGCAATTAGCGTTATAATTTATACATTTCAATTTGTACATTTAATTATATTCATACGTGTTAATATTACGTGTTAAAAACTAGTATTATTAAGAAGCTTAATTTAATAATGTTATAAAATTTGTAATATAAATTTAAACATCAATTTTTTTAACTAGATCCTACTTACAAAAATATTTTACCACTTTTACACTTCATATGACTATTTTCAGTTCTTACATCTCAAATTTACACAGCATTTATCATTCACAAATATTTATAACGTATATATTATTAATATTATTATCATTTGGATATATTTACTCGTATATGCAATCTATCTTAACTACTCGATTTTACGGAAAGTTACTGTTTGTAATCCACAAGCGGAGTCATACTTATTGAATCGGATACACTACACGTCTTCAGCACTTAAACTAATCATTAAAAACGGGCTGAAAACAATGAAATATCGTCACTTTTAATTAGGACTCCTAAAACTACAATTTCTCAAAATATGAGAAAATTTGACCGAGAACTAAAATCCATAAGAAACGTATGCGGGGTTCTTTCGGATTAGAATTCAGCGTGAAAAACCACGATAAAAAATCTAGTCATATTTCCGATGATTTTTCCTTGTCGACCAGTATTATCTTATACTTATTATGAATCTAAAAATATCTTCTTTTATTCATTCCATGATATTTTTTTATCTACCTCATTTTTCAATGTCATGCATTTTCTCTCGTTATCGTCAAAGATTATTGTTTTATTCTCATCTTGTATCAATGACCTACATGCTTTACAGTTATTATAGGATTTACAATTGTTATCAGAGTTATAGCTAATTCTTATCATTATACATATATCATCTCATCCTTCATTCGTATTGTTACAGTAGAATTAATGTGCCCGAAAACGACAAGATTATACAATAAAAAAATATTATCTACATCTAAAATATCGCACAGCAATCTTATCTCACTCGTGTCAGTTCGTACGAAGCGTAGATGCGTAACAACCGATTATCATGCTGCTGAAGAAATGTGTCGCCAGCGTGATTTATATTCGTTCTTTCTTTGCCAGTACGGAGAGAACGCTGACGCCACATCTTTCTCTCGCTATTTTGAGAATCGCATATCACTTCAAGCGTTTCTTTGTGGTTTTATTAACAGTCGTAGCATAAAGAGTATTAGTACAATAATAAACATTGGTAATAGTACGTCGAAAATGATGAAAACTTTATCAAATCTCGAAAGCTAATCATTCTTAATAGACTGAGATGTTTAAAAACATCTCGGTCCATTATTATAAGAATGATCTTGTTTCATTCGAAGAATTTATTGATATAACAACTATCGTTATCTTAAATAATTAAAATATCATTAATTAAATAAGAATTATAATTATTATAATATATAATTACTAATAATCGTATATTAATATACACATAAATTAATGTCTATATTAATTATATATTAATAATAATAATTAATATTATTAATATATACAAAAAATTAGAGAAAGAAAAGACTCAAGAGAATAAATTTAACAATGTAAATAATGCCAATATAAATCAACATAAGTTGTTTGAATTAAAAATCTATACGTTTTACCCTCGGTTTGGGTTCTCATCAGTACAAATAAGATGCAAATCAAATCAGAATTTTCAAAAAAAACTATCCAGAACATGGGTTAATAATAAACGACATAAAATGTAACAGTCAAAGTCAGATCTTGAACATCAAATTATTGTGAAATTATTATAATATAGATTATAATTATAAATAATTATAATTTTTTTCTACATGGATTTTTATTCTCAATTAACAAATAAACATTTTAAATATCTTTCAATTCTTCTATATGAAAATTTTCAATTTCTAAATTGAATAATTTCTTATACATGTGTGTACCTTTTAGTATCAATAACAACTAGTTTAAGTGAAATAAAGTAATTTCTTTCCATCTTTCACAGATGCGTATATACATACACGCGTAATTTATACTTTACTTACATAAAAAATATAATCGTGCTGCATAATCGCGTCCTTTATTGCCCACATTAATTGTTAATAAAAGTCAGAAGAGAAGTACTCTTGTTATATCGCGATACATAATGTGAGTAATATAGTTTGCAACTCGTAACGATAATGGGGCGTTAAGACTCCATTATCACGCAACGTAAAACCCTATTAACTTAGGTCTATGCTTTCTGCCATATACGAAGCGTGACGCGAAAAATATTGTTTGTATGTACGAAATGGAAATAATTTTTTTATATTCAGAAGCCTGGAAAATGGCTGAAAAGAACGATACTCACTTTCGTTATCCATTTTCCTCCGTTAAATTTAACCTAACGTTATATGAAACCTCAACTTTACTATTAAAAGATCATCGAACATTATAACTTAAGGTTACTCTATGCACCAATAATACTGTCAGTATAATATTAACAAATGTACTGACAATATTACTGATCGTGTGTGGTTAATATACTATTAATGGATTGATGTAAAATACTGATGATAATCTGGAGTTTAATTCTCGAGATTCAGTATTGTTTTATTCAGATCCATGTCACAATATGTCACGGTGCAATAGATGATGTATGTAAAACTGAAATAAAATATATTGTCGATAATGCTGATCGTGCATGTAAGACCTTGATGGTCTTTGGCGTCCGAAAATAGCAAAAAGAAATATGGGATGATCTTAGAAGAGATAGTTTGATGTCGAAAAGAGTAGCCGGGTCAATTTGGTTTCAAAAAACTCAGGATAGGGATATTCATGGAGAAGGTTGGGAGAGGTTTATTACATCCAGAAATAGACATTACAGGCTGAAGAAAAAGAAGAATTACAATTAAAACTAAGAATAGAAATCCACGTAGAAAAGGATGCTCTATCCTTACATTCTCTCTCGCTTACGCGAAAAGGATTAGGCTACAGTTTACTTCAAAAAATATTTTTTGATTGGTCAATTAGTAAAGTTCTTTTTTCCGATTGGTCATTTAAACGCTTCGAAGCATATGTAGTGTCAAGTGAACGAGTTAACCGCACCCTAAGTGGCGGTAATCACTTCGTGCGAATGTTAGAGAATACGCAACCTAAAAACAGAGAGCATCTTTTTCTACATGAAGTCGGGTGACGTTTAATTACATAAGTTGCAATTAATAACATAGAGGATAATAAATTAAATATTAGATTTGTTTGCGTTACTTGAAATTCTCCAAAATTTTTGCATTTAAATGAGATAAATATATTATTAAAAAATTTATAAGAAATAGACACAACAGAGAAGCTATCAGCATCAGGGCTGTGTCGCTGATAGAACGGAAGTCTATCAATATGGAAGAGACAAGGTCTCATTCGAATCCCATAACGCCTTGATATTTTTCTTATATTGTTGCTTATTCCTTACAATATATTCGAGTTAAAAAGAAAAAACATTTAGTTTTTATTTTGTTTATTAAAGAAATCTCTAAAAACAAAGTGGTATATCGGTGTTTCGGAGATCTTCTATTCTATAATATATTATATTGTATTATATAAAACATTATATACATTTACAAACATATTACATTCAAAAAGAATGAAAACTTATGGGTTTCAATATACTTATTTTATAAGATGGTATATTTTTCATGACAATTCTGAGTCTTGCATTTCTTTAGGACTGTTAAATTTTAATTTTAAGTCATTAAAAATAAAAAGTCGTATTAATGATACTCATTCTATTAATTAAAATTATGATTTTTGCGAATTAATAAACATGAAAACATCGTTTTCTCTTTGCAGAAATTGTTGACTAAGGACGGGGGACAACAAAAAAACAAGATAGTGCCATGCTGCTCGCCGACGCAGCTTGCCCCTCTCCAGCTACTCTACATCGACACGAACAATACAATCACACAGAAAACATTGCCGAACATGGTAGTGGAAGCTTGCGGTTGCATGTGATACCGCTGCCCCGAAGGCAGAAGGGTGAGTAGAACCACCACTGTTGGCGGGGCCGAGAAGACGAGAAGCAACATCTCATACTATTTCGTCCAAGACTTTTGCTCGTGTTTAATCGTCGTGAAACTGAACTTGGTTCCGTTCATCTTGATATGAACATGAAGAAATTGATGAAATCAAAGTAATGATCGCCTCTTCGAGATAGTAGGTGATTAAAGATAAGGACACGCTATTGTCACGTCACGCGAGTTCACTTTCTATCACGTTGCATTATAAATAATTAATCCTTTAATGTGCATGCGCGTATGTGTGTGTGTGTGTGTGTGTGTGTGTGTGTGTGTGTGTATGTGCGTGTGTGTAGTGGTATTTTGTATGTAGTATTTTTAGAACGTATCTAGGAAAGTGGGATCAGATTCAATCCGATGCTCTGTTTTGATCAATTTTTATCTAATCGATATAAAATGAGTAAAATAATTAAATAATAAATAATAAAACTTGTTTTTTTATTTATTTATAAATTTATAAATGAAAAATATAATATAATTTAGTTTGTTATCAACTTAAATAACTACAGTAAAACAAACGCTTAGACTAACGAAACCGTTGGATGACACTTAAAGATGCCTCCCGACGATATGGCCAATGTATAGATGTATGCCAATTTTGCACACATTCGCAAATATTGGCCTACATTCAATATGGATAATTATGTATACCATGTGTGTGTATGATATTTGCTAATGCGATGAACGTTGGCCATATCATCTGAAAGCAACTTAATATCCCAATCCTACAATTAGAGAGTTAATGAAATTATCATCAGTTTGAAGAACACACATCTATACAAATAATTACTGCCTTTTTATAATATTTGATTTGCCAGTTTTATCTGTATTTAGAGTCTGTATTTCATCGATATTACGTGAATCATAATTATTTGTCTTGCTACATCTTAACGAAAATTATTACTGAGAGATTGTGATTAGAGGAAAGATGGCGTAAGACAAATTTCTTAAGCGAAAATGGCTATATTTTTTATTATAATAATAAAAAATTAATAAAATTTAACATAAAAAAACTTTAAAATGTTTATTAGAAGATTATTATGTTTTCATAAAAACTTTACTCAAATGTTGAGTAAATATTTCATTTGAGTTTGAAAACATTTATATTGTTTATGAAATGAAAATTGCAACATGGAATTGTTTAGGAAATGCTTATTATTATGTTTGGTAGATGTTTAGAAAGTATTATGTTGTGTTTTCGGAATATTATAAATACAATATAAGAGGATGATTGGATTATAATTGGATTGAACAATTCAATAATGTTCTAAAGCTCAAATAAAACATCAATTCAACATTTTATACAGACGATTACGTGTCATTGACACATCAATATCTTGCTCACGTACGCCACACATATACGTAGATTTTTGTATCGTAAATATGTTTTAATTACACATCTAAATCTAATTTTAAAAACTCCACGCTGTTTCTTCATGCAAACTACATGCCTGTGGACTACTATTTCTTAAGTAGAGATTGCACAGCTTTTATATAAAACAAATGTTGTTACGACGTGCAACGACGTGAAAGCTCTGAAGCGTCATATTGGACTAAAAAATGGTAAAGAAAAACTCAATTTTGAAATTTTTTATCGTTTTCAGCATAGATTCTACCTCACGGGCACGTATTAAAGTGTATACTTTAATTCTGTAAAAGGATTTTCGAATCTGTGAATGACAAAAAAAATATTTACGATACAAAAATTATACGATTTACTCGGTAATGCAGAAGGCTTTAGGATCCCCTTAAGCTTTTTATAAATTTTCAATAAACACACTACTTTCGCCAGGGCACGCGCAGTATGATATGTAATTTTCACATGTGCGAATTATATTGATAAAAAAGCGGTATCAATATGATATCACTTATTTCAATAAAATGCTCCGCTTGCTTCGAACGATTCAAGTCGCAAAAATTATTTATACCTATTATCTTTTCAATATCAATCGTGGAAAACGGATACAGTTAATAAACTCTATATTCTTTCGATAATACGACAAAATACGAGCTTGCGTGATGCAACAATGGTGTGTTCCTGAAACCTGGAATCTTTAGGTTGATTGCCCAAGCCACGAGATCGACTCAAGCTAACGCTTGCGGTGCCAGGGGAAATTAAGGTGAGCCGAAGCGTGGTGAGAGCTCGTTACGTATTTTAGCGTAAATACCGACACTCTCGCATTTGCCCGCCGTTCGTCTAGGAAACCGATAGCGAGAGACCTTTCGGGCAATTTCGACAATGAACTTTGCCGCGCGTGCTTGCATTGCATCTAACTATGTAAGGGTTGCCTCTACATAATTCGCAAATCGCAAAACATAGTTCGCAAATACTGACACAGAATGACGATCACCGCGTGCAAGATACACTCAAATAAAAACCAACTGTATGCAATGAAAAGACAAACGCAAATCTTCATTCTGCGTCTACAAACTACGTGTTGCGATTTGCGAATTATGTAGAACCACTTTAGAATTTCTAATGCGAATCGATCGAAGATACTCTGGCACCATGTAAAAATCCCTAGATTTTATAGATTTTCTGACTGATTATATCTTTCAGTGATGCGATATGATTTTTATAATATGTTAATTTGTAGTGAAAGTTGTATTATATCTTCTAATCTAATTCTTTATAAAAATACGGAAAAAGAGAAGCGTTTTTGCATATCTGCAAAAAAAATATCCTCAAACTCGGCCTCTCACCTGAGTGGGAGACAACACTTTACTTTCAGTTTCAAATTATCATCTCATTTCGAGAAATCTGTAAATAATACATACTATACATATATCACTAAGATAACATTTATGAATTGATTTATATCAATCAAATTAATTACTTTTAATTTGTTCAATCATTTGACATCAAACATCTACGAGTATAAGAGATGTGTTTAATTATTCAAAAATTTGCCATTACACTTTGCACATCGTAATTTCTGCGTCTATGAAAAATAGAGCGTATAATAAAATTATGTGATAAATACCATACTTCTCTCGAAGATATGGTGTCAATTCAGATAGAGCCGACAATACAACAAACTCGCTAGAAGCCGTACAGTATTTTCTCGCTATCTAATGCACAATCCGAAACTAATATTGTATCGCGATTCAGGCTTGCATTTAGTTTAAGAAAGTGTGATAAGCATGTTCATAGATTTATTTATTGTTAAAATAGGATTAAATTATCTTTTTGTTGACGGTTAGCTCGCGGGCATGACTAAAGCAAACAATATAATGCAATAATGATTATTCTAGAAATACGATTATATAATATGTATAGTATATTATTAAATAGCGCGTTAAGCTCCGACAAGAGTTGACACGTCAAAATAAACGGCGAGTGGTTTAACAAAATAATGTCGAGAACTTTCGGAGTAGTAAAACGTGGGCCTGATATTATTGATGTATTTTCTTCGTATGAAAATCTTATCTCACATTGAAAAATTAATCGATTTTCTTTACATTTAAACTGTAAAAATATATGAAATCGACAAGATGGATTCTTTTTATATACATTTCAATTATTATAAACTCTTCCAAACTGCCTTAATCAATCTTAATTCGGAATAATACAATAACAGATAACTGCTAGAAATATTACAAAATTATCATTTCTTTTAAACTGACGCGATAAAGTTTTTTATTAGATATATATATATATATATAGAGCTCTTAAATTGATATTTTCTCTAAATTAATCCTACTATATATTTAGTAATTATTGGCGCATAATTTTAGTGACATAAAATTTATTACTATATGTATATCGATTGTACTTTATTTTAATTATATACAGTAAACACGCAAAAAGTATTTGTACAAAGGAAATTTTTTAATGTCTTATTTGTAGAAAATAAACATTAATTAGTAATTAATTTATAATAAAATAAGTTTGTTCCATCTTAATATCAACGAAAAAAGCTTCGTGAAAATAATACTGTTCATAATTTTAGAAACTAAATTTCTTGACTGTACGAATGCTGTTTGTGTATCAAAGTAATACATTTTTTTATTTCCGCTTATTTTATTAAACTAATATATTTTAATTGTTACTTTTTAGATAAAATAATTTTGAGAAATATATGCAATAATTTATTTTAGTCTTTGTTAATAAACTGTTAATTAATGTTTACTTCCTGAAAATAAAATTCTTTTAAAAGATATCTCTTCTGTACGAATATCTTTATATGTCAACTGAAGTTTATGGCCGTGTTTCGGTATACTGTCGGTACTGAAAATCTATAATAAACGTAACATACACTATAAATATTTTAGACTATTAAAATTTTAGTATTGGCAGTGTATGTCGGAACATGGCCTATAAGTATTGATACCGAGTTGCAGTTTCCATTAGACACGGTATAGATTTAAAGTTACTATATAAGATGTATACGGATATCTGAATCAAATCACATTCTGGATACTTTAAAATCCATTATTACGTCGAAATAAGTCATATTTTTCGACCACACCCGAAAATGGGAGAATTTATGAGGACGGGAGCAAAAACTATAGACATACTTCCGCACGGCTTCGAGAGTGGATTAGCGCATTTCTTTCTAAAAAAAAATACATTTCACGTTTCTCTCTCCACCTCTTCACGTAACGCTCGATAAACCTTTCTCGAGTAAATCCATCTCGTCGGTTTCTCTCTCGGCGCCATGTAAATATATCATTCGTGTTTTGCTGTACGGTGCCACGTCTCTGCAAATGAATTTCCTGGAGCGCTTCCTTCCTCCGTCCCGGAGACAGACACAGAAACGTCGAGCGATGGCTGCGAGAAGGAGGAAGAGCAGGAGAAAGAGGAAACGTAAAGAGCGGAAGGGAGGTAAAAGGGGATGGAGAGAAGATAGTGAAGTGGAGGAGGACTCTGTGCAAGAGTGAAGAGCTGGGAAAGAGGAAGTGGAAAAGAAAATAACTAGGCAGTGCGAGAGACAATGGGTAGCACCGTACCGCAGGATCGAAACCGACTATGTCCGTTAGCGACATTAAATGCAACAGGGAAATAATAGTTACCGCGACTCTATACGTAAAGCAAAGTGTATATTTTTGGTGACAGCGACGAAATAGTGTAATCTCTACTTATATAAATTTACCTGCTCTCTATTACATGTTAAATTCTTCTCCTTTGTTTTAAAAAAATGTTTAATATTTATAAGTAATCCTGATGAAATAAACATTCAAACATTAATGAAATCAATAATACAATACTTCTTTCGTTACGATGGAAAAAAATTATAAAATGTGTAATATCTATTAAAAAATACATTTTAAAGATAAAGAGACTGCATTTTAACATTTTAATATTAATTAGGCAAATACTGTTGCTAAATAAAACATTGAATATCATATAATCCTACATAATTACTGCATAGGCTAAAGTAATCTACTAGACTTTGGAATTATGGAATAAAAACGCGAAAATGTCTGTAATATTGTACAACACGATGCGAAAGATGGGCTAATATTTTCATACTCTAGCATGAAATACGACGTATGTGTTTTTAAATTTTTAATGACGTTGAATTTCTATCATGTTTCTTAAATAAACCTTTAAATAAACCTAGACTCAATCATTCTTTTTGCTAGTGTACGGTAAAGTTGTAGACAGGAATAAAATACAATTGACAATATAATTTAAATTTATAACATAGAATGCGATATTTGGTAAAACAATAAATATATGTTCAGATGAAACTTCTTTCCTTTATTCTTCATTTGCAGTGTTCGTATTCATGTTTATTTAAGGAAACAAGGAAAGTGCAAAATCTACAGTTTTACAGACTTTGTGCGGAGATAAGGAGAATTGAGTTACTTATTTAGTACACGTGTTAACTCATATCGAGCGAACCTACATATTTCAAATAGATACAATAACGGTAGAAAACTGTGTGTACTTTCTCTTGTTTTAATGCAAATTATGATAAATTTACATAAAGAAAAAGAGTATATCATACAAAGAGATATCTTTTTGTTCAACTAAGAAGTAAAATTTATATTTTGCAAAATTTTTCATATCTTATTTTTGTTTAGAAACATAATATAATATTTTTTTAGTTTCGTTTTATTTAAAAATTATTATTAAAAGTTTTCATTTTAATATTATTATTATTTTAAAAATATACACTTTAATAAATTATGATCTAAAAACTTTATTACAGACTGATGAAAACTTATAAATTAGTAAGACACGCAAGATTCAGAATAATGAGACGCTTGACAAGTCAAAGACAATTTATTTTCCTTTTCTACTCGTGCCTCGAATAACAAAATTCATTCCAGGAAAATCTTCAAATTATAATATTCCCATCGTCATGTTTTCCGCGCATCTTGTTAACGCGTAACAAAGGCGGGAATCATTGTTTCATCATTCTGTACCACGTGGCCTGATCGATATTTGGTCAAGACGAATCCGGTGTTCCACCAGGTTTTACAGCACTACGATATTTATCTGCTCGTCATTGGCAGCCGTAGCCGGTTAACGTGCGTTCCCCGTACGGTAACGAGTTTAATGTTACGTGACAACGTCTCGCCGCGAATTAATTGCGTCTGCGCGAGTGCGAGTGCAGTGGCAATTTCGATCGCTGCTGTTGCTGTTGCTTGCTGCTGCTACACTTCGCCGGCTGTCAATCAATCGCGCGGAATTGCGGTCGGTAGACGTATTTACATATATAGGTGCATGCATACACGCATATGTGCGTGCACACGCATACGCTCATATTATTTTGCTCCAAAGTCCGACGATTGCTTTAATTAAGAAGAGATATTATGGCGGAAAAATGAAAATAATGCACCACCGATAAAATACTGGTATGCGACTGGATTGTATCGCCACGTAACATCGTGTGACCTTTTCGCTCAGCAGCTGTATCTTGAAGTCGGATGTCGACTTTAATTCAAATTTACTCGCGAATAATAATGCTGGAGAAAGATATTCGAATAATGAAAGTTATAAGTATGAACTGCAGAAATAATGTTCTGAATTAAAGAAAGTTTACGTTAAATTTTATAATACACGGTGGTATCAGAAAAATATTTGTTGTGAATTTTTCAAAAATGTTTTAATGATAAAAAAATAAAAAGAATTATTTTTAAGTTTAACTTTCTAAAATAATTAAGAAGATATCCTAAAAGTAGAAATATCCGCATGGCAGCGACATAATACTGCCCAGCTAACAAAACAAGGACGAAATAAAAAAGATGTGATATTATAATGACGATATCATGTAACTTAAAAATAGGACGTAATTATGACGTAATTATTTTATATAACTTAACATAACATTGTGAAAGCATTATTTCCATGAGACTTTGTATAATTTCTTGGTAGTCATTTATTTTTTATTGTTAATACAAATCATAGAACTGATATTTTTTCTGTTATGACTGCATTCTGTTTGTACGCTCACGCGCTTTAAGCAGTTTAAGCATTCATTAGAATCTAATTTTATTATTTCTAAAACTGATTGTTACTGCCTTAAATCACATGTCGTTCGTACGTAATTTTGTTACATATTATGATTAAAACACAGAGCAAAAACTATCATAGAAAAACTATATTTGGTAAATATTTTTCATTATCACTATTTCATTCACAAAAATTAAACATTTTTTTTATTATTGAACAACTATTCGATTTAAAAATATAGCAATTAAATGATATAAATGCTAATTACTTGTTTTTCCTTTTTTCTGCCAGATTCCTTTGTTTTATGCATAAACACGTCGCCGGTGGTACAATATTTTTAATTTAGCTCTCTGCGGTGCGTATTTTCATATAAGGCACAGCTCAATCTTACATCAAATCCAATAAAAATCAATTTAAACTTTAGTATTTTCATATTAAAACGGATTTAAACGCCGCGCCATCGCGCGAAGATTAGTGATAGGTTGCAACTACAGAGGCAGTACAACAGAGTGGTACAGGAACAGAAAACAGACCACAACCACGACCACATGTGATTCTTCTACCATGTATTGTGGTGTTACGTGACTGACAGATTTCCTAACCTGAATAATTGTGAACTGTAACGATTAATATCTCGGTTCAAGGGGCAGAGTGACGCTTTTTTTCTGCCATATTCTTTGATTTTATACAAAGACGTGTCAAATAAGCCTAATTTCATTAACTTTTGAGCTATGAGGGCCTCATCTAAACAATTATCAAATTCTTTTATTTTTAAGATGAAAACACGACAATGATCTCTATTAGTTAACTTTTTCATCAAGAAACTATGTCAGCATGGTTTTTGGGATGATCTCGTGATTGTAATCAATTGCGTAACGTGACAGCGTGAACGTAACCTCAACATGCTGTCAGAGGTTGATGTGTTCATCAGCAACTACACGTTGGTCGATCCCGAGATCTACCAGCTTTGGGTCGACGGACATACTTGTGAGTGGAGGAAATAATAGCCTCCATTGATTTTATGTGCACAAGGAATTATTTGGATTTACAGATTTAATGGATGCTTTTTTCTAGCCAGTGACGCAGTTAACATTCTACATCAACGAGGAATCTGTCAGCAGACCAACGCACCAATCGAGCTGGTTGCATCTGACATTCTGGATCACTATCGCACCTATGCTCTGCTCGAGAAACTGCTTCACACTCCTACAAAACTTGCCAGTGAGCAGTTAGCCTTTCAAATCGAACCACAGACCAGTCAAATGCTTATAGAAATGTAAGAACATATATAATGCGACCTTCTAATCAAAACTCAAATTATTAAAAATAATAAAAGAAATTAGAACTAAAATGGAAATATTTCTAATAATGTTTAGCATTAAAAAACATATTTTGCTTACTTTCTATCCTTTATCAGTGCAAAACAGAGAATGGTTACTGTAAATTCTTAAAGTAAGATTATTAACTCTAGAATTGATGCCAAAATTTATAACAATTACTGATGCTGGAGATCTAAGAGATTAATTTAATACAAATGAAATGTCTATATTTCTGTGAATGTTGGTACATAACTTATATATATTCCTCATGTGATAGATACAATTTGCATTCATTTGGAATGTACTTATGTGAAAGTTAAAATAAAACATTCTGACTCTCTGAATTAGAATCCTCTTCAGTATAGAAATCAAGTACAAATTATAATGAAAGTGTACTATATATTTTATTGAAACCACAAATACTATTATTTTATTTTATTTCCATTAATGTTGACTAAAAGGCACTATTAATTTTAAGGAATCAAAATAACAATATAAAAAAGGAAGGATATTAAGTATATTAATAAAAATAATTTAAATTTGCAGTTGTAACATAATATTGAATTGTTTGACATTTTTATATAAAATAGTAATTGTTACAAAAATAAATGTAAGAATTAGCAATTAAATAAATTCAAATATAAATTTCAATTTTTTAACGCTATTTCACAAAGAAAGCTAAATTAATTGTACATACATATTAGAATCTTTGTTAGCTAAACAATCATTGAAGATTGGTCCAATAGACCTACTTACCATCAACTTTGTAGAGATATAATTGAGTAGGTCCAATAGACTCATATCAGCTCCAGAGTGTTAATAATTTCTTGTGAGGCACGCGCTGATATAAATAATTACTTATTTCAGGTATTACGAATTCGATGATGTCGTTATACGTGAGTTATTAGGAAAAAAGATAACATCTAAAAGTAGAAAGGATATGGATGAGGTAGCGGAAAAAACAGGAATTACATTGAAGAGCTGTCGAAGACAGTATGACAATGTGAAAAGGGTATTTAAAATTGTCGAAGATTTGCCAGGCTCTCTTGCAGTCAATATCAAACAACATTTCTTACTTTCTGAGGATCTTGCCAAGTATGTATGATATATAACTCCTTTCAAAAACTATATAATAACCTGTGTTTTTTTAGTATGGGTGTACAATCCAATTATAATAAACATCATGCAAATCATTTATAATGTATCAAACTGTTTTTAATTACACAGACGATACGCTGCAGTGGTGTTTATAGCATGCCTACGATTTGAAATGAATAAACGAAAATTACAATTTTTAACGTTTCCTGATTTGTATCATTGTGCCAATAGTATGATGTCGTCGTGGACATATCGATGCGTCGGATCCGAATATTTTGATACTGATTTGGACAGGGAATTCTTACAGGAATTATCAGAATGCAGAGCTCTTCTAGAAAACGATAAACATCACAAACAGTATATTATATCGTATATAAAATATAAATAATGCTTTGTCATAAAAATCACAAAAATAACAGGAAAATATTGATATGTTTCAGCTTAGTATGCCTTAAACTCAAACCAATGCTTCTTGATCGATCTTATCAAGAATTAGACATAAACTTCCGTTCGTATTCGAGAGCGATACTCTGTATTGGATGCAATTTACATAGATCACGAGAATTGAGATTTTTCTTTTTGGAACTGGTGGAGAGATGTATTGAACCTTGGCGACAAGTCAATTGGACGCACTCCGATCTACGGAATTTCTTAGCTATCTATACACAGTGCGCTCTTGACATGGATGTACTTAGGTAGGAATTGCAATAATCATATTATGAATAAGATGTTCAAATATTAGGAACTTTAAGAAACATTAATTATTCAATTTTTATCACAGAGAAGGCGAATTGAGAGATGCGTTTGAACGTTACATGACGGTAGTGACATGTTGTCTATTACGTATGTATCATACATAATTATCAATGTAAAAATAAAAAATATATATATATATAATATACAGAGTATTCCTCGAATCGACTGCCATAGTTTTTGAGATACTTCTGATAGATTGAGAAAGTATTTGAAAATTATGACGACTGACACGAGCGAACACCCTGTATATGCACACTTAGAAGGTATAAGTAAACAATAGGATTAATAATTTATATATTGCTAATATTTATTAATTTTCTGTAATAAATGATAGACAGATACAGCATCTTATATGCTGTGTGTAAATGTGCAGTTAGACATACATATATGTAATAATGCACATTACACTGTCAACATTTTCTTATTACTGATACTTTCAATGAAATGTGCGCGATGTGAAATTCTACAAAGTGAAAGGCAGTCTGTATATTGTAGATACGGCAGTAGCTCGGTATATCTTTTTTGTAATTGGCCATGTTCAGCAGAATGTATATATATATATATATATATATATTCCTTTATATAGACCAAAGAGTATAATTCAATCGACACAAAGCACTTACTGAAGTACTGACTTTTGCTGAACGTGGCCATTATATATATTAAATTTTTAGATTAAAAGTTAACTTTAATTTATTTAAATCCAATAAATATTAATGAAATAGAATGTTTCAACCATTGCACATTCGTTGGTAATTATAACAATTGGATAATGTTTCAAATAAAATATCGCTATTTATATACTAAAATTCTGACTTATTCTTACTAATTTTTTCTTATACATATATTTACATTTTATCGACACTGTCTAATAACATTATTAATATCGCATATATCAATGTACAGAATACACATCGCACATATTACGCGCTAGTTTCAAAAAGCACATTTGCTTAAACCTCATTTATACATTATAATCAGTGTACATACATCTTCTTTATGTCCAAACATACTTCCTTGTAAGAATTGTTATGCAAATAAACTTATAAGATGTTTCCAAAGTTTTCTATCCAATAGCGACACAGTAATATTTTTATTTTACAAAGAGATTATATCTTTGTTGTCATTTCTTTATTACTTTACATTTACTTCACTATTATTTATCGATATTTGGACAAGGCATGATGCATTCATACCTTATATCATGAGACAAAATATATACATATGTCATCAGAAATGCCTAATCAACTGAATTTGCAGAGGTATCGAGGCATATTCAAGAACGCGCATTCCTTTATATTAAATGTACGTTTGAACGAGGTACACTGTATACTGTAGAGATGTGGTACATGAGAATAGGAAAAGTTGTGTGTCAGGAAAATCGTAAAAATATAATAATTTTGCCTAAGTACTCATGTACAATTGACTACTGCGTGACTCCTAACAATTTGGTAACGGCGTTCACTATATCTTTGATCTGTGGCAAGGCCGCAATCTCTAGCGATTTCGCATATGGCATAGGCGTGTCGACTCCCGTAATGCGAATGACAGGTGCGTCAAGATGATAGAAGGCTTCACCTGGAAAAAAAATAGCTTCGTTAAGCAACACTGTCAAGAATAAATAAATTAAAATAAAATCGATACCAGTTTCTGAAATTACATAGCTTTCACATTCATTAATCTTTTGTGTATACAATGCGTTTAAAACTTAATTCTAACTAGCTCTAATTTAAATTATGTTAATTTAAATTGTCACATAAATAACTCAAATAAGTAAAGAAAGAGCTAATACGATCGAAGCTAAATCTTGATGTTTAATAATATTTATGTATAAATTCTAAATACGTCTTTCAGTTATATAAACTGCGTGCCATCAGGCTTGTAACGCAAATAAATTAAAGCTGAAATAATATAACAAATTAAATTTTTTTGTACAAAAAATTCGATAAAGACCGTATAACAACATTTAAGGATAAATTCCTAAAATACTTTTTTGAGGCAAAAATTTTAATATCGAAACATCGAGGCTTTAATTGTTTTTTAATTATAAGTACTTCAAGTTATCAAATCATACAATTCGCGCGTGCTTTTAGATGTGATACACGACAGAAAATCCAACTGAAATCCAACCGCACTTAAATGCGCAGACTTTAGACGATATGAGATTCGCTGTAATTTTAAGTGCTTATATATAATTCGAAAAAACTATTATATTCTTGACATTTTGGTATTAAAATTTTCGCCTCAAAATTTTAGGCAATCTACCATTAAGAGTTGTTATAGTCTTAATCGAACACCTTATATATATGTAATAATAAATTATATTATTTATATATACAGTTATATCTTTAATTCCTTAACCTAGATTGATTCGGCTTTGGCGTTTTATTATTTTTTAATTTCTGAGTGATGTACGATTTTAATTTTTGTATCACTTTTAAATCGTTGATTGTAACATCGATAATGACTTCAAAAGTTGAAACGTTTGTTTATAAGCACATAAAATTTATTTTATTAAAATAATTTAATTAGATTATAGCCCTTTATATTATCCCAATCAGAATAATGTTTTATCTTAATTTAAATTGTCTAAATTTCATTTAAAATATAAATTCAACACATGTCAAATATGAAATATAAATTAAATGAAACATACTCTCTGCAATTCTTGCGCTGACCTCCGCTCCAATACCACACTGCGGCCAACCTTGTTCAACTGTCAACAGGTGTTTTGTCTTCACCACTGATTGTATGATGGTGTCTATATCCAACGGTCTGAGAGAACGTAGATTAATCACTTCGGCCTCGATTCCCTTTCCAGCAAGTTCATTGGCCGCTTCCAAAGCTTCCTCGACAGCTCTAGAGTGTGCTACTAATGTTACATGATTGCCGGCTCGTTCTATCTTGGCTTTGCCGATAGGTAAAACAAAGTCCTTTGATAAAGCTTCGTCAGACATAGGATACTGTACACCATACAATATTTCATTCTCAAGCACCACCACTGGATCAGGATCTCGAATGGCTGCTTTAAGCAAACCTTTGGCATCTTCGCTATTATAAGGTGACACTACTTTTAAACCAGGACAATGACTGTACCAGGCACCGAAACACTGCGAATGTTGTGCTCCTACACCTGCAGCAGCACCATTGGGACCACGAAACACGATTGGCACATTAACTCTACCTGCAGACATGTAGAACGTTTTGGCAGCAGAGTTGATGATATGATCGATTGCTTGCATCGAAAAATTGAACGTCATGAATTCGCAGACTGGTCGCAGGCCGGCCTAGAAAATAAAATATTTATGCAAAAAGAAGAATATAAGTACTAATAAAAGCGCAATAAATAAAACAAAGACTAGCTCATTATTGTAATAAATAAAGCTTAGTTATTTCACACATACCATAGCTGCTCCAACCGCGATGCCAGTGAAACCAGCCTCTGTAATTGGTGTGTCAATGACTCGTTTGTCTCCATATTTCTTCCAGAGACCTCGAGAAACCTTGTACGCACCATCATAGAGAGCTACTTCTTCACCGAGAAGAAACACCTTCTCATCTCTTTCCATCTCCTCATCCAAGGCCGAATTCAAAGCATCTCGCACGGTCATCTAGCAAATTTATAGGAATTTTCATGAGAGAAAACCGAGGCACAAATAAATGACCTTTCATGCCCTTCAAATTTCTACTTCTTTAAATGATCGTACGCGAGAGCAATGTCGAATCAAGAAGGGCAAAGGAAGAGCAAGGAACAATTAACGTGAAAACGTTAAAACGGAGTTCCCGTCACATCCAAAGAATCATTTCTCTTTTTTATGTTAATTTTAAGCAGCGGAATAAATCACCTGTTGTGCCGGTGCCCATTTCGACGTGGAGAACGAGCGGCGAACGACGGTTCTTACGGCAGTCTGAAAACAAAAAAGCATCACAGTAGTCGAAAAATTCGAATGTCACACTGTTCTTTTTTCGAACAGATCGCAACAATTGATCTATTCCATTTGCAATTATCCCATACTCGCGATGTTTTATAACGAGATGAAATAAAAGCAGACAGATGGAGAGGCTAAACGTGGAACGGGTCATCGATTGCGACCGCTCGTTTTTCGGAATTCACGAAATCTTTTTACCATGAACATGTTAAGTTGACGGAAATGTTTCTCGCGGTGGGACCTTTTCTCTGAGAGCAATTTTTTCTCTCGCTCCCCTTCTCTCTCTTTTTTTCTCTTTCTAGAAGGATAATCTGGGAGACGTTCGTAAAAAATTTCGTCCTGTATTAAAACACAGACTGCGTTAAAAGAACCAAGGACGCGCACTGTATTATTCGGAACGGTTACAACACGCATTGAAGGAAGTCGCTGATTCGAAACGGCGCCACGGCGGCGTATCGCTTAGCGTTCAAAGTTGAAGCGGCAAAATATAATGTTAATGGTAATTTATATGAACCGACAATGAGCGACACAGGTCTATATTTGCGTTGTTTGCACCTTTTACATTCAGCATATATTTGCTTTCTCTTTCTTTTCAACGTTTAAATATATATATTTATCTTCTTTTAAATTTAAAAATATTGATTTCATACAACGTAAACAGACCTATCGTTGAGATTAGTTACCTATTGGATAATTAGGCAATCGCGTGACGACCTGAACACAACGTGTTCTGCACTTATTATATTTTCTTAATGAAATAATTATTTATTCTTATAGTCCATTAAATAATAATGATAACGTAATTTTGTGTATATATAATATTTCAAAGAAGAATTAAACAATTACTATCATACTTGGGCTGGAATAGGAGAAATTTTGTACAGATATGTACATACAACTTGAGTTCTATTTTTAGATAGCGGTATTATTATAAGCTTAGATGGGAGGAGTGTGTCGCCAAGGTCAGATCAGGATCACATAAATTTTTAAAAAATAAAAACCTCCGTTTTTATTACATATTCTTGTAGCTTATCGTTAAGAGCTCTTCAAAACATTATAACGAAATACTTCTTTATTAAGTACTTTTCGAGTTATGAGGTTTAAATGTTACAATACCGCGGCGTTGACGTTAGCATTATTCAAAATGTCCGACGGCTAAAAGAATATTATAATTGTAGCATCTGTATAAAAATTGACTAATTACAGTCGAATACAGTATAGTATTCCATTCATACAACCGAATAAAAGAGAAAATATTCGACTGTGATTGGTCACTTCTTACAAATATTGTAGTATGCGGCATACGGTTATGGTCAATATAAACCCTAAAACCTCTTGAACACGTTGTTCAAGATCAGAACATTAATAAACAACAAAAATCAAATGACTGAACTCCACGTTTTGAGCGTTAAATGAAATGTAGCCCTAATAGCACGATCATATTCATATTGTTTATATATGAAGACGGAAATTGTCAAAGAAAATAATAAGTCTATTTCGTCTATACTCGTCAATTAAATTTTATTTATAATAATTAATATATTACAGTTTTAACTATTAATTTCCTATCATAGAATATGAAAGGCTTATGTTTTACCTGGTTTGTACGCTTTCCAATAATTCACATACACATCATCATATATATTACGTATATGTATGTGTGGAAATATGAGATTACGTACCACTTCTTTTTTAATGCAGATAAGAGCGACCTGCGATGCGTCTCTTAGATACTTAATATATATATATATTATGTAAAATATATTAATAAAATATTAAATAAAATACATTATAAGCAGAAATATATTTGAGAAAATGTTAGCTCGACTAAATGACATGTGTTTAACTGTGATCTAGTAACATGTTTTTATCTTTTGTTTAAAAACAAAATTTTGATCTGATTCCATCGCTTTAAACACGGCAGCACGTAATACTTACGCGGATAAAATTATAAAATAATTTTACATGCAATCTTATGATAACAAAACATATATCATAAGATTAATACTATTTCGTAATTTTATGAAATAGTATTAATCTCGTGAGGTATGTGCTATTAACGAAGCAATCGAGTGATATTCTCTAACAAGGATCATCTCTACGAGTGGGAGTAGATTACTCATAACAGGTCGTATCTTATCTCTTGATAGTGGTGGTAGGTATCACTATGTCTCTAAATAGGCGTGGTGTAGTATCTTGATGAAATCGAAGGGACCACGTACAGCGTAACTTACATAAATTGCGCGAATAAGTTTTTTCATTTCGAAATAAGCTTAAAAACGTTTTTCTCAATGCAATATGATACTTATTGATTGAAATACAAAGTGTCGATTCAGAGGATACAATTCTAGATTTCTTGTTTTTTTTTTACAACCACGAAATGATTGGATTATATTCCTGGATTATTCTACTTTCTCTTGGTAAGAAGTACATTATTAGAAGAAATATATTTTAATTTATAATGCGTAATTAATGTTATTATATTAATATTCGCAGTAAAAAGGTTCCCTTAAAATTTATCATAAAATTTTTGCAAACTTTGTATATGAATTTTATAACTTCTTAAAAAATGTTTCAGATTTTTTTGTTATAAATTGAAACATTTTAGAAATGGAACATTTAAGAAAATATATGTTTTTTTTTTCTTATAATAATATTAGTATAAAAAAAGGAAAAAACATAGATTTTCTTAAGCATTCCATTTCTAAAAAAAAGAAATTTTTATAATAATAATATAATTCTTATATGTTAAATTCCAAACTATTTCTCATTTCATAATTTCCAAAGAAAACTTATAAAATCTAAAAAAATTTAAAGTCCTTTTTTATCTTAAACAACTTTATCAATTAAAAATTATGAAATATATATTACAAAAATTATGAGAATTTTTTTTCATCAAGAATATGTTTAAAAAATGTTTAAAATTAACGCAGCAAGTTAAAAATATACAAAAATAATTTTATACGTACCTTATTTTTTTCATTTGTGAAAGTTTAAACATTGATTATTAAATTAAAAAGTTGTTTCGATAATTAGTTTATAAAAATTTGTTTGCTATTTGAACTAACAATAAGTAAAATCTTTTAGGTTTCTAGACGCTTATATAACGATGCCAAAACCGAATTTTATGAATAATAAGAGTAATTTTATAATTTTGTAAACAATTCAACTTAATTTTCTTTATGCATATTATTGTAGGTGTTTCCGCACAAGAAAATACATATCGAAGTATTGCATCAACACTTCGAGAATGTTACGAAAACAAATATCTTCTAGAGAAAGATAACAGACTTCCCCATACTTTAAATACATTAATTGCAATTCTCCGAAAAATCGAAAATACTGAAAACGGAAATATGGATTTACGAGCCTTAACTGTTGGAATTATGCACAGGTAAATGGTTCATTCTCATGACAGCGTCCATGAACAAATATAGTTTCTACGTTTAAGATTGCTAAAGTGCATAACACTCATTTCAAAAAATCGTAGATTTCGTCAAGATGGAATAGAAAAGAATCCAATCGTCATCGAGCAGTCTGGTGTATTGCCATATAGATCAGGTTATCAAGCTCAAAAATATTTACAAATAATTCGTTTTATACCTGAGGAAACTAGCAGGCTTCTTTACAACATAATGACCGACATTGAAAGGGTAAACTTAATAAAACTTAATAAAAGCTGTTTATATTAAGTATATTCCTGAGAAAAATTTTTTCCTGAAATTAAAATTAATACTAACGAAATATTACTGAATCATATATTAAAATCTATATCAATTGACCAACTTTCAGTATTTCATTAAGTAAATTTTAGTGTTATGACTCTTAATTTGTCTTTTTAGTCTATTACTTTATGTTTCATTAAGTTTCTTTATAAAAGTTTGGTCGCCGCATAACAAATATTTGATAAAGATATATAAAAAATAGATGAAACAGTCTCTACAGGATTCTTAATATTCAAAATATAAAAATACATATATAAAGGCATATAAGAATCAAGAATGATAAAGTAAAAAATATAAAATAACATGTGTCTATTTTAAAAAATAATGATAAAATAATAAAAAAATATTATAGGTTCATCATAAAGATATATAATAAGTTTAAAAAGGGGAGGATGTTGTAATATATAATGATATTAAATGTTTTATTACATATTTTTGGTATTAAATAATATAATACAGTATATTATATTTTACACTTGCTATACGGATTCATCAATTAAAGGATTAATCATATAACCTTTATCTCGAACTTGTTTACAGAAGTTTTTTCTCGAATTATCGCTGATAACTTTTCAAATAGTATCGTATAAAAATTAAACGTGGAAAATTATTTTTATGATTCGTAGTATTTCAGCATGATTCAATGTTTAATTTCAATGTTTAATTTTCCTGAACAAATCTGTAAAAATATTAAATATTTTTACATTATTTTTTAATTTTAATTATTTCTCATTAATTTAATTATTATTAATCATTTTTATAATTCATAGTACTTCAGTATTAAAAGTATTATTTATACTAAAATATATTTAACAATATTTCAGTTATTTTTATTTTTTATTTCTATGATTTCATATAATTTCATTTATCAACAAATTAGATGGAGAAAGCCGTAACGGTCGAAGCTGGATCGCAGTGCTTATTACAATATAATTGTGTGAATTTTATATACTGTGTATGTAGTCCCCCTCGCAACGCTGATAGATTTTCAGCATTGACGCATACATATTCACTACCGCAGTAATATCACTAAGTTAAATTGACAAGCAATCAAACAAATTGATGCTTATAGCATCTTATTGGATCTTAATTTCATTTAATTTCAATAATTTTAGCAATTTATTTACACCATCGTATCGATCATGTAACTTTTTCTCTAGAGCAGAAACGTGAACAGTAAAATTTGTTACGTATATGTACATATACCCATATAATATACATGCAAAAAATTTTTACGTTTCCGTTCTAAGGAAAAAATTATATGATTGATCACAAGAAATAGAGAATATAGTTTTCAAAAGTGTAGTCTTTCATATTTGATATACAAAAATCTGGATATAAACTTTTATCTGATAGATACTTTATTTTTTTGCAGTGTACCCTTCATTTTATGTTATCTAGCAGTACTGAAATATACGAAAGAAAGGACGAAAACACGATATGTATTAGCACTATCAGGAATGCGAGAAGTGTTATCAACAATTTTTCTATTATCACAAAGAATGTGCATGATGATGTAGAAACCTTGACACCTGAACAAATGTAAGTTATATATAATTTAAATAATTTAACGTAACGCAACTGTCAACAAAAATAATAACGCAAAATACATAAAAATACATATAATTAAACAAAATAAATTCTACTATATTACATATTTATATTTAAAAAGTATATTTTCTTTTTCAATATAATTATACATATAAAAAACGATTGTGTTATGGTATTCATTATAAATGACAATCAACTATATATGTATAATGTTTGGAAAGTTAGATTTTCTCTAAACTAAAAATTCTTAAAGATTAGTAATTTTAATTAATTGTTTATTGCATTACGATTAATAACCTACAAAATTGTTAATAAAGATTATATAAACCAAAAATTAATTTAGTAAAAAAATTGAATTACTTAAGTTAAATAAATTTAAGTTAAATTAATTTCAAATTCTTTTAATTGCACTATTAAATTAAAATAACTATTCTACAATTATATATATATATATATTATAATGTTTATAATCAAATCTATAGCATATTGTAAAGAAGGACATATATGTATATATATTATATATATATATATATTGCGACCATTCCAGGCTGTATTCTAAAATCTATCGAAAAAAAATGTAGTATTAACCTTTTAGTTAATGAATGTACAATATTGTGTGTTACATATACAATATCTCCAAATAAAGATTTCAAAATACTATCATTATTATCAAGACTGTATATAACATATATAATATTATAACAACAGACTGGCCAAAATACAGACTATATTTTGGCATAATAAAAACTTATTCATAATTTTGTTTAATATAACGTACAATATTATTGAACTTATTTCTGAAAATTTTGATTGCAAATGTAGCGACATTATTACAAATAACAAAGACGGAGATACCAAACGTGTGTTTGATCCAAACGCTATGTATCCGGAATTTCCACCGAATCATCCAAAGACCGCCCGAGTTGTTGATAGACCGCCACTAAGCAGATGTCCTGTAGAGAATGGTGTTATAAAAACTGCGTAAGTAGATTTTATATTTTATAATTTATGTATTTATAGCGTAAACACACGCACTTGTTTTCATTTTTAATAATATTTACAGAAAAAAATGAATTCTTGATTCGCGTATTTTATTCTTGAATGCTATTTGATTTCTTTAAGTATAAAAAGCTCTCTTTATAATTACAAATATTCTCTTGTATCAATAACAAATGAATTTGTATGAAGTATATTTTATTTTCAAAATCGTATTCTTATTTCTAAAATAATTATATCGTTCTAACAAGTTTATTAGATTTTCGTACTTAACAACATATTTCATGGAGAATCAAATCGGAAGCGGATGCAGTTGTGATACTTCCTTTGTAAGAATATTTTTCACTTTGTTTCAAGAATAATTTATTAATCGGAGATTGTTTATTCTTAGCATAAGCAGGCGCTATTCTAAGAATAAAATATTCTGAAATTGAAGCATATATGCATTTCTTTAAGAATTCATTTTTTGTGTTACTGTACATTTCCGACCTACTAATGCTTACTAACAGCCACGAATCAACAGTATCAGAACTGCAGAAGCGCTCATATGAGATTAAGAAATTCGCGCGTGGAAACTTTCGATACATAATTATCCTTAGCAAAACCTCTTTCCATCCTATAAATTTCTAATTTCCTATACTTTGCGAGAAAGAATGACATATTAATGCAATATTTGTGTTCAGATTCTGACTAGAGTCTCTATAGTCACTTCCTATTAACAGCGTTTTAGGCTCAATTTCATAACTTATTATATATACGATTGACTCTTATAACCGAGATTCAACTATACTTATTTCTCATCGCTTTCCAATTCGACAATAGAATTAGAAGAAAATAAGAAATAAGTTAAACCTTGGTTAAGAGTTAATCAGGAGTTGTGAAACTAGGCTTTAATAATGAATTATCGTAGCTGGGGTTCAGTTTCTGCCGGGCCGCTAATCGCTGGTATAGCTGCTGGTCTACAACCTGAAAACACACCATTCTCGGAATTTTTTCCTAACGAAGATGACCCAGAGAGAATGGCAAATCTATCAAAAATATCAATAGATAATAAATGGATTGCAACCATAAGTGGTAATAAATTCTTTATTTTTTTTATATCTCCATATATATTCTGTACTGTTTTATGATATACAAATTTTAAAGAAAGTTGCATCGAAAGATTAATATTTATAAACTGATCAATCACGAACACGATTGTTCAACTATTTTCTCAGATTATTTTGTCAACTGTATGCATCGATTAATACGATATCTATTTTACAGTAGGCTTATAAAAAAATTGTAAATGTTACAAATATTGTATTTGCAGGTGATTTAGCTGAAGTTATTTTAATGCAAGGACCTACAAAAAAGAATGAGGAAAAGCTTAGTATAGGTGCAGACGGCAATTGGAATTCATCGGCTATGCCTCGTTGGTATTTTCTGAAAAAGAATAAACACTTACAATTTACCACAGCAGAGATTAGAGGAGATATTGATGGATTCATTCTTGCTAACGAAATTGAAGCTTTATATACAAAAGTACCTAAACTGAGACTGTCACAAATTTTAGATCTATATTATAGCTCTCGTGGATTATTTAATCCTACAATTAGAGCATGTAATCGAAAAACATTATTTCAAACAACTATATCAAAACAGATAATGTTAGAACAGGTAATACATATATATTGCATAATACTATATATTACATTATTTAATAAAACAAAACTTTTTCTTAGTATAAGAACGCGTGTAATTAATTTCGTAACTTTTTAAGCTCTAAATACGATTTTGTGTGTTCATTAAATTAATTATTCTATTACATTATAATATAGTTAAAGCAAGTATATGTTGAAGTGGTTAAAGTTACAAAAAGCTACTTTAGTATATTTTTCCATTTTATAATTATATATATATATGTATATGACGTAAAAAGATATTTATAATTAATATTACATCAAAATTACAACTTTGTAGGCCATTATCTGTAATTCTCGTGCTGACCGTGAGAAGCGGGGATTGCCTGACAAGCGCCCTGCGTCGCGCGCTTATCAGGCAATCCCCGTTCTCCATGATCTGCACGTCGAATGATCAATAAGCGTACTTGACAGTAGCAGACCGAGTGAATTTATTCAACTATCTTTCAAAATTAATATTTTGTTAACTATCATGAAAATCGTAAAATGGTACAAAACTTTTCGATTCATAGTCCGTTCTATCTGCACACGAAATATTTCGTCGTTATTTTTGAACATTCTGCATGATATATGATTTAATTTATATATACTTTAATTTGTGTTTTATATTATAAAATAATAAATACATCACACTTCAATACTTATTATTTCTAAAGCTTTAAATTAAGAATGCTCTCTTCAATTTTAAACTGATTTTTGTTTATAAAATAGTATTAATAGATTTTTCAAATTTTACTTGCGCCTTTTTGTGACCAGACAATATTTGATATATTCTTAATTGTATTTTTAGTAGTATATTTATTTATTTTTTATTTTTTTTACCGATATATATATAATATAATTTATATTTTATATAATTTATACATATATTTTGTAATTTATATATATATATTTACTACATATATAATAAATACATACATGCACATATATGTAAATATATGTATGTATGTATTTTGATTTATTTTATATTGCACTATTAATTTTGATTACATCTTTTTTTCTTCATACGACGGATATATGTCTTAATGGCATATACATATAATAAAGTCAACTTTTACATAATAGAGATTCTACATTAATTATAAATACTTTCGTACCATAATCAATACCATAAATTATTTTATTTAAATAAAAGTCTTAATAAATACTTAATTTTTATCACAATAAAATCTCTCTAATATATCACGTCATTGATATGTCGAAATATACTAAAATAGTCCTCTAAGCAACTCCAACTGGAAATTTTTCAAGTCTGTAATGATAAAGCAATTTGGTGTTGTAATGTCCATATCTCAAGTAGAACATAGAAGTCATAGTAATATCATAAAGACATCGTCGTGACCTTATTTATCATTTATAAATTCATTTTTAAGTATAAAAAGACATCGTGATGACGTTCCATAGGATAATAAAATCATAATGATATCATAATTATTATGATTTTATTATGATTTTGTGTTCTACCTGGGATACAACTACGAAAAATAATTATGTAGTTTCATGTTTGTGTATTTTTTTTTGTTAAATAATATTATGCAACAATTAATTACTTTTAGTAAAAAAATCGTAAATAAAATTATCAGTATCGTACACACATATACACAAGCACGCATGAACAAACACACAAATGATTTTCAAAAATTATAAATCAAATCTTTTAAATTAAAGCAGTTCATTTCACTTAGACATACAGTGCTTCATTAGTTTTGGAAGAATATTTGCATAAAGCTACAATAAATGACGATAAAATGAAAAATTTTGCAACACAAGCAACAGAAGAATTGGCTTCTTACGTTGGTGAGTACATAGATTTACAATATTTTACAAAAGAAATATTTTGAGATAAAATAAAAAGTAAACTTGTATAAATTTTAGATTTAATGAATAACGAATTATGCCATGAGACAGAAACAAGAAATTTTGATGAAGTTGTTCAAATTGCTATTGATCTGACAATTATAATCGATACTACATGGCCTTTTAACGAGATACAATCAATTATTGCGTAAGTACAAATTATGTCCAAATATATTCTACCCAGTAGGCCTATTCTGTAACTTTTTAACGACAATTTTACTAGATAGGGATATCGTTGCGCAGGTATTTCACATGGTGAAAAAGTTGCGCAATGATAGTATAACGATACCAAACTGTCGTTAAAAGTTACAGAATAGGCTTACGGATGATAAATAACGAGTTTATCGCTACAGTTACCTTTTATATATTGTATAAGAATAATTCGATAATTTTTCATAAAAAAATTAGATAAGCTACAGCTTCTAAACTTCTAACTCACTATATACATGTTAGCAAATAAAAAATATTTTTATACATTGAAGTTATATTTATGTTTATTATGTTTATATACAATATGTTATACTATTATACGTAATACGACGTGGAAAAATTTTATATTATTGACGTAATTATTTCGACTATATTTAAATTTTATCAAACTTTTCTTACATAATATTTTACATTCGTTTGCATGGTAATTTGTAATCTTTTTGCGATTGAAGAAGACATTTTGTAATGTCGAAACTAGTTTTGCTCAAAATTTTAATGCTTTAAACACATTAAATATGTGATTCATTATTAACATCCTGTATTATAATTCGTCTATATTAATTCGTCTTTGACTATTTTTGACAATTTCATTTTTATATTATTATTTCAATAACGAGTCCGTCACAAAACTGATTTCTTTTTTTTCCTCAATAGAGAAATATTGGATAAAATCGACGTAAATCAATACAATAGTCAATATACAATTATTAATGGTTGTGATGGTAGTATCATGTTGAATACTACCAATAGTATTTTAGACTTTGGTTTATATAATATAACCAATTATACAAATAATGGTATGCTTGCACATATTATAGTAATATATTTTAAATAATTATATTCTGTTGCCAGTGATTTAATTTGAAAATAACTTTTTCAGTTACTAAAGGCTTCAATCTTCCTAAATCACTTGAAACATTAGGTGATTTGCAAAAGAAGAAATTAAACGATGAACGTTATGGTCTTGGAAATGCAAAATCTGATGTAGTTTTAATTATTCCGTTTACATCGTATATTACAAATATCTCTGATAAAGAATACTGCATAGTACAGATCAAGAAGATGCGAGAGCAAGTACCGGGTAAATTTTTAATTCCTATAAAAACAACTACAATTATTATCTATATAATGTTTAGGGTATCTCAGAATAATAGTACATCATTTTTCGGTTTAGAATGATGGGGAGTAGGAATTTCTATGATAGAATAATAGGGCTAATTTGGCGAAAAATGAATTAAGAGAGAGAATGTATGTTAAAGTAGGGTTTAGGTGTAGTGTGGGAGTGTGAGGAGAGGTATTTTGTTTTTTGTGTAATTATATAATATAATAATAGTTTGTCTGTTTAGTTTGTATGAGATATAAGCGAAGAGCGAACTGTGATGTTACGGCTGTGAACAGAGTTAGAGTTAAAGTTAGGGATGCGTGAGTAGTTATTTATTTTTGTATACGGTGAAGGTATGGATGGATGTGTGGTAATTTTGTAAACCAAATCCCCTTCTTGGCTTTGTAAATGCTGAAGAGAATAAAATTCTATTCTATTCTAGTACATCATTTTTCAACAAGTAGAGCAAATTAAATTGAAAATATGTATCTTGAAATGAAATGAAAATTACAAGTGAACAAATTTTAGAATATTTGCACGTACTAATCAGTAATTTTCTATTAAATTTTCTATTAAATTAGCTTAATTTCGGCAACGCGTATAAACGTATATATAATATAGCTATTTAATTAATCATATCTATATGCATATTATTTAGTATAGCATTCTTTAAATGTATTGCCGAGAAATTAATTTAATAAAAAGTTTCTTGTTAGTATATGTATCAAATGCTTGGTGCAAACTACGATAAAGTGACGTACTTTGTCGTTGAAATGATAATTTTTGGTTACAAAATTTGACTGTTTATTGACTTTAAACATCAAAATAAAGTCATTTTTTGAAGTCATTTAAATTTTTGTTAATTTTTGTGTGTTTTTGAGTAGATTAGTTATAGATGCTAGGCGCGGGAAGTTGTTTATTACAAATCTAAAGTTATCATTAAAACTAAAAATCAGAGAAATCAGGAAAATCAGAGAATTTTGTGAAATTTTCTAGAAAAAAATAAAATTCTCAACTTTAATGAAATTTAATGTGTTTTATACATAATCATAATATAAAAATAGTCCACATCAAGTGAATAAGGTCTCATTACCGATATTATTGCAGATGCCACATTACTTATATTGACTCATGGAGCGATAGATAAATGGACAGATCTTCTACCATCAAGTAATTTGTTTTCCATAACCGTGCCAGGCGATATAGGAGATTCAGCGACGATGGCTAAATTAATTTTGAGGATAAAACAAGGTACAGATCAGATCATTTTTTTTTCAATCTACAGCTGTAATTTTACAAATGTTTCATCTTGTTATTACAGTTCCACAGCGGTTGATCAATACACAATGTGGAGCCAATTATTCCGTTATAGGAGAATCCCTTTCATTTACCAATTGTATTGAACCAGATACAATAGTCTCTTACAGACTGCATCCTAATTATTTCTTTTCCACTGATAGCAATCATAAATCTAAGATAAAGGTAAAACTTTTCCTGCACAAAAAGAATATTGAACGTATTTTTTCTTTTTTAATAAATATTGTAAATATTTCTTAGATTCAAGGAAGTGAAGATAATTTAAAAGTATGTACGTCGCAAAGTTTTAGAAATATTAATGAGACAAATGATTCGTGTAAACCAATAAGTAAGGACTTTTCTATTGAATTTTCCTGTGGTGATGCTGGTTTGATACATCTTTGCGAACCACTAAATCTCTTAATCATTGCTAATTCTTCAACTACAAATTTTCAATATGGTAAATACAAAAAATTACAAAATAATTTAAATTTAATGTATATAGCAACTGTTAGTATGTTACAATGAATGCATTCAGTACAACCACTCATTGAGACACTGAACGCTCATGAAGTAGTTGTATCACTGAATACATCTAATTTTTCTTAACTATACATATTGTCTCCCTCCCTCCCTCCTTCCTCTCTTTCCTATATATATATTACATATATGTACGGACGGACGTATTATGTGCGCGCGCGCGCGCACACACATAATACATACATAAACATTATCTTATCAAAATGTTAATGTCTTTTTCTATAAATCTTCTAATATATCTATATTTCTTTAGGTCCAGATGAGTGCAGATTTCCTCATATGATTAAATATACATTTTCGTATGAGAATTTGGTATGTAAAAGTAATGCAAATATAAATATGTTAAACATCTTCATTTTAATCTTAAGTATGATATATACGTTTTTGTAATAAAAAATACAAAAAAATTATAAATATGCTTTTTTTAACAAAATCGTATCAGTATAATTCAACATTCGTCAAATTTAAATTAGAATTGTAAATATCACGTAGTATTGCTCTTTTATTATCCAATAAATGTAAATGAAATATTTTGTAATTACTTTATTCATATGTAATGATGACGTTGAAAGTTTTAAAATAAAAAATATTGTAAAACTTAAATAAATAAACTAACACTTAATTAAATGGTGTTGCTTCTTTAAATAAAAGGTTTACAAAGAGTCACTGTATGGTCAACTCCACAGGCAATCTTTCTCACTTGAGCACCTACTGCAACCTAATACAAAAAGACAACAAATTATTACAGACAAAAACGCACACACACGTGCATAGTTCTGCGAACAAAAGTTGAACTCGCAATTTTCGATTTTTCTAAGAAATGATGGATTACCGAATTTTTTTTCTTATTTCTTATAGCAACAATAAAGAAGTTGAAATGAAGATGAAATGATTCTACTAGCGTTAAATGGAACACAGGTTATACATATATGTCTAGTTATAATATGTACAGTTTCTAACTATATTATTAAATACACCATTTCTTTACAATTTATTTATATTTACTTCTAAAGATGAGACATTTATATTATATCACGACCTATTATTGTAATAATTGAACGAAATATGATTGTTTATAAAATACATTTGTTTTAATTCACTTGTCACTTACATGTTACAAAAGTACAAACCTGTTGATAGAAGCAACAACAAAGAACATATCCATTATGGAAATTTCGTTTCATTTATTCATCGTAATAAACTTTAATTCAAACATTACATTATTATTAAAATCAAGACTGTAATAGCCACCAATAATAGCTTAACAAAATATTTTAAAAACATCATTTTATTTTACAAAAAGAAATATTTGATAAATACTGATAAAACTGTAATTTTATTGATTGTGAATATCTAAACAAAAGAGAAAATCCTACTTTAAATATGTAAATATAAAAACAATTGTCATTTTCGGCTCAAGATTAATCCTTCCAAAAGTATATTTAGCAATATAGCCAGGAATTACATTTACATTGTTTTTATATTCTACTTATCTTTTATTCATATTTTAAATGTATTTTAAATTTACCTTTAAAGGAAAAAATTGATCCTTTATATGCCCTAATCCCAAACATCCAAATCTGTTACAACCCCACATGTATAAGTCCCCTGTGTTGGTTAACGCCGCCAATTGATTAATTCCACAGTATATATTTGTTACCTAGCAATTATAAAAATTTTATTAATATATAGTCTATGAATAATACAATATATTCACGAAAGGCTTTCGTATTGAAAAGATTTTTTTAAATAAATTTAAATCAAGACCGACGATTGTTCGGTGCACAATTTGGGGGAACTATAATACGTATATTAATTAATTATTAATTAATTTTAATTCGTGATAGTACCGCGGTAATTTATATGTAAGCGATTAAAAGATCCAAGCTAGACTGTTATAGGCTTCTTATTTGTATTAGTTATTCTTACATTAACGGTCTTTAGTATTGAATATTGTAAATTTAAATTATTTTAAATACCTTGACATTACGATTATACACATTATTGCCAAACAATGTAGGAGGAATCATAGTTGGTTTTGATACTCTTTGCACTTGAGGTCCAAGACCAAGTATACCATATCCCCATACAAAGACATTACCATCATCTGTAACATAATATATATATTAATTAATAAAAAAAATATATAATATATAAAATGTATTATATTAGCTCAGTATGTACTATATTAGCTAAATCAGAGACATATAAACATAACAGAAATTAATGTTTTAGTACAAAAAATACTTGAAACAATATTACTATCAAATAAAAACTATAAATAATAATTTTTAAAACAAACTATAAATAATAATTTTTTATTAATAATTTTTAAAACAAAACTGGTAAATTAATATTGTATTATCATAAGTTTTGATACTTACTGTTTAAGACCATACAAAAACATCCACCTGCTGCTATGTCTGTTATATATCCTAATGTTTCTGTACATAATTCTGTAGCAATGTTTACTTGACAATTATCTTCTTTAACTGGTAATTGATCATACTCCGAATTACCCCAGCCATACACTTTCCCTTTATCTGTAGTGTGTAGAAATATTTTGGTTATATATACAGATATTGCAGCTGATCAACATAAACCATTACAGTTTAATATCATAGTAACAAGCTCTGTACTTATGAAATTGGAGATTATAGACTAGTAAATTACATGAAGAAACAATATCGAGTTCTTAGAATTAGACGTCTAATTAAAACGCTATCGTTTTACAAAAATGTATATGTGCGACATTGATGTAATAGTATATGAAGATATGATAATGTATTGCATCTTATCAATAACGATTGATAATCGTTATTGACCTAGCGATTCTATCAGAGTTTAGGTTTTCATACATTTTAGAATCTCTTTAAAGTTAATAACCGCTAAAAATTCGCATATTTAATTATGGTACAGCGCAAAATCCCAACCATATTTAAACGTTGTTATGATATTTTATTACACAGAAGAGAGAGGGGGGGGAGAGAGAGAGAGAGAGAGAGAGAGAGAGAGAGTGTGTGTGTGTGTATGTGTGTGTCTTTACCGAACACTGTGTAGACGGATCTGTGAAGCACAACATTCTGTCGATAAAAAAAAATTACAACAGTTTCAGTAGCACTTTTCATAGTTCTACAATTCCTTATAAAAATAAACAATAGTTCCGCATTTTGTAATACTAAAAAATTAAGAATGAAAATATGTCATATTAACTTCGAGAATCTAGCACAATATTTTCTCCTTTAAAGTACCAAAAAACGTCAAATATTATCAATTTTGGCAACAGTTAAGTACAACATCCAGTTCTTCAAGTGTCGTGCTGGACACAGAGATTTAAAAAATTGATTAAAAATATGTAGCGGCCGGAACTCTGCTTAAAAATGATTGTAGAGCATAGAATTCTGCCAGTATTAACTAGAACTATTATAAACAACCAGTACGTCACTTTTTTCTCCAAGTGTCGTGTTATATTTATATTTAAATTTTATAATTATTAGTAATTGTTGGAATTTTGTTTTCATATTATATATTTTAGTAGAACTCGAATAGTACTAATTGGAACTGTTGCCAAAATTGATATTTGTCGTTTTTTTATATTCTAGAGGAGAAAGTGTCACGCTAGATTCTCGAAGCTAGCACGACATATTTTCATTTTTAATTTTTTAGTATTACAAATACGGAACTATTGTTTATTTTTATAAAGAACTGTAGGATTATGAAAAGTGCTACTGGAAGTGTTGTAATTTTTTTGATATCGACAGAATGTCATGTTAGCTTCACAGATCCTCTGTAGATTCATTTACAGATACAAATGACAAAATTAATTTTTATCACGTGCATGCCAATGAACAGTTAGACCAAGCAGTCAGTCTGTAACATAAAATTGACATTTGACTGAGAAACTGTGTTACAAAAAGCTATCTTTAAGTGCATTTTGATCTTTTTTTCTAATATGGCTATGATTTTATTTATTATTTTGACATTCATAATTAGATTGGGTTTCTTAAAAGTGATTGAAAGAGAGATGGTTATACTCAAGATCTTTTTTATGATATTATTTCCTGTAATGGTTATACTCAAGATCGTTTTTATGATATTATTTCCTGTAAAATCTGTGAAATTGATATTTCAGAGCTTTTAGAGAAAACATTTATGTCTTTTGATCACCTTGATCATATTGCATCATGATGTCATAATCAAGAAATGACACATTGAAGTATATCATTTGGAAATAAAAAAAAATATGAATACAAACAAAATACTAAGATTATTTTAAAATAATTGTAAAAATGGATCGAAGATATCCTTACTCTGTCCTAATAGTCAGTAAACTTGTGAAAGCACATAAAGTGAAAATATGCATAATAAATTTGTAAGTCTATTTTTATTTCTTTATATTTTATGACTGTTTATTAACTATGAAGAGATACAGTGAAGAGTAAGGATAGTTTCGATTCATTTTAACAAGTATTTTAAAACAATCTCATTATTTTGTATTATCCATTTTCTTTATTTATAAATGACAGGCAAGAAACTTCAACTTGCCATTTCTCAAAATAAAAATCCCAAATTAAAATAGGTACAGTAAAATATAAAATATAAGTGTAGTAAGTCTTAAGAAATTGACCAATCATAGTCAAGCATTTTTCAGATATTCGACTGTGACTAATTAATTCCTTACGATTCAAAGCTTATTATATCTATTGTATTTCAGGATTTATACTTAGTCTGAGTATATGTTGCATTTTATGGTTACATACCACTAAGAGCTAATACACAATCAGCAGCACAGGCAACTTTAACTATACGCTGTCCTGCCAAGTCACCCTTGACTAAACTCGGTCGATGTTCATTTTGATAGTGTGCAAGACCTGTTTGTCCATCAGCACCCCAACCAAATGTATATACTTCACCTGTCTCTGTCAAGAGTATACTATTATAAAATGTTAATGAGAAAATACATAAAAAAAAAGAACTATAATATAATTGTATAATATTTAATTCATATTTTATACCTGTGATCTTGACCAGCTGTTACAGTAACAATTTTATTTCCTTTAATATCAGGTATACAATGCACAGCCATACTTTTCTCGTAATTTTCATTCAATATAATTGGTCTACCACATTGACCATATGCATTGTTACCCAATGTGAACAAACCTTCTGTTGTTAATATTAATAAATGTGCTCTTCCAGCAGCCATGCCTATAATTTTGGTTGAGGTATTCTGTAATGGCAAAATTATTGGCTTTGGAATAAATACTGTATTGGAAAACTTTTCACCGAGATTGTAACCTGTTACAGAAAAACTAAGGTATAGTACTTTTAAAATTAAAGTTAGTTTGTTTCTAATAAAAACCTTATAATATTGATAAAATAGATCTTTAATTACCAAGTTGTGAATCTGTATTTATACCAGATCCATAAACAATATTCTTATCCGAAGAATGTACAGCATAAGCTGTAAAACCATATCCACAAGCAATATCTGACACCTTATGATACTCAGCAAAGGATAGTCTGTTTGGTTTTGAAAGGTATGAGATATTTTTTTTTAATGCTCGTGATTCTCCAAGAGCACCATGCTCCGCAAGACCCCACACATATACTCTACGATTATCCTTGTCACTTATTGGATATTGAAAAACTATAATCCATGTGATTTTATATAAGTAATCAATTCAATTTTGATGTTAACATACACAATATCTGGTAGAAATGTTTACTAACTTGGTAAAGTTTTAATCTCAGGCTTCAAAGATGTGGATGTCTTGCTGTCTAAGTGCAAATTTTTAGCATGCCTTGCAACTCGCATAAACCAATTACTTCTTGCATTCAACATTTTCGTAGATTTCCTCAAAATGTAAAGATACATTTTGTAGTTCTTTTTCTTCTTTTTTTTTCTTAAGATCCCTATTTAAATTTCTGATCTACTACAAAGAGTAAGCTAGAGTCACATTGAGCGGAAATTACAGCGGAACGGAATAGTGAAACCAATAGGGTGCAAACCCATGTAGCGGAATAGCGTAAAGCGGGGAGCACAGACTTTTGCATAACGCATAAACCATATACATAAACAATTTGATTGGTCCATTGACTCATGCATAAGAAAATGGACCAATGAAATTCCTTATGCACATGCTTTATGCGTTATGCAAAAGTCTGTGCTCCCCGCTTAAAGGTTGATTTATACTGGCCGTAATCTGTTAACTTATGCCGTAATCTGTAAAAATTGATCAATTATAAATCAGTATAAATCAACCTTAACGCGGAACGAGAGCAGAACCAATAACGAGCATTCCGTGTTTCTAGAGAATCTCGTGATTGGTTCTACTCTCGTTCCGCGTTACGCTATTCCGCTGCATGGGTTTGCACCCCTATGCCTGGTTTATGCTTCGGTCTTAAGGACTTAATCCTAAAATTCAGCCAATAGAATTCAAATTTCGGTTAGAACTGATAGCTTTATTGGTTGAATTTTAGGATCTTAGGATTAAGACCTGAAGCATAAACCAGGCATAAACCAGGCATTATTCTGCGATTGCGATTTCTGCTTTTACGCAAAATCTAGAAAACAGAGATGCGTCATTGAAAGGTATGGCTTGATTGGCTGTTCAAATGACGTGATCAGAGAGCCATTTTCTACCTTTTGCATCAACTATCATCAGCTTATTGGTCAAGAGCACTTATATTGAATTAAAATAGCGATGGTTACCTAACCCAACCGACGCAATACCGCATCTCTGTTTTCTAGGCCTCTAGCAAAATCATGGCTCTCATTGGCTATCGCTTGCCGCTTCACCGCTGCGCCGCTCTGGTCTGTAGGCTCCTTTAAGCCTATCGCACATGAAATGCATAATAGAGCATGAGCATAATATAAAACTGTTGAACCAATGCATCCAGCATAAAGTTGCCATATTAATTAACAGGCAAACGGGATCCTCCCGAAAGAAAGAATTCTAGTGCAGTCATCACATAAAAAAATATGATCTTTTTTGTGAATGAATGTTTTCTCGAAATGAAGTCAAAATTACAAAAGTAAGCAAATTCACTAGATATTGATCAATTAAATATTTTTATTAACCAATTAATTTTTAGTAAATTTGTTCACTTTTGTAATTTTTATCTCATTTTAAGTTACACAATTGACTCCTAGGTAATGCAGAAATAAAGAACAAACCTATTGTAATACGAGGTTTGTTTTCTGTGGTTGAACTAGTGTACACTTTTAAGCCCTAAACACAATGCGAGGGAATAGCGATAGCGATAAGTTTCAACTTATCAGAAATCGAATACACTGGAATACGCATTTTTGATAGGTCGAAACTTATCGCTATCGCTATTCCCTCGCATTGTGTTTAGGGCTTTAGAACTTAAAGTGAGATAGGTATATGTTTGATATTTGTAGAAAGCGCGAAAGAAAGTTCTAGTTCAGTCTAGTGCAGGAACAGGAAACAGACCAATGGGGAAGCAAGTACAGAACTTGCGACAGAGAGAAAAAGAGGGAGAGAGAGAGAGAGTGTGTGTATTTTCGTGTATAAGAGTGTGTGTACTATATATGTACGCGCGTGCGCGCGTTATGTGTAACGTGACGATGGAGCCGTCGTCGTCAGCGGACAAGCAGGCAAGCAGAAGCTAGCAGTTAGCGGAGTCTTCCTTGTCTTACGTTCAAACGGATGGACGTCGCTCGAGTAAACGTATTTGTTCCTCGTGGGATTAATGCAATGATCAACTGTCAACATTCATTGGTGCATAAAATATGCCACTGAGTGCTTGTCTCATATTTTTCGCAAGAGCGAGAACGATCAGTCGCGTTGAAGTCGAATCGGCGAGATAAAGAGAAGTCTAGAAACAGAAAGAGTGAGAGAGAGAGAGAGAGAGAGAGAGGGAGCGAAAGAGGGGGAGAAAGAGAGAGAGAGAGAAAAAGAAATATCCGGAAAGTGCACGACAATGTTGATTCTAACATGCGAGAGGACGGATGCAACAATCGTGTCTCTCGTACGTTAAGTTGTCATAATAATGGCAGACAATGTGCACAGAAAATCGCACAGGCTGTCAGATGGTAGCAGAAAAGTATCAAATCCCGTGCATCGCACGACCACGGAGACGATCCGTCTCGGCGAGATAGACAGGCATCATCAGCCGGTTGTTGTACCGAGCAGCGGTGTGCAGGCCGCGAGTGGCAATCGGAAGAAAACGTCGTCGTTCCAGATAACTAGCGTAACCGTAGGCTGTCGCATGAGCAATGACGCCGGCGAGGACTCCAACGACGACCTGGACGAGTCGCATACCGAGGACAATTCCGTCGAGCACTCGCGCATCACCGATCTCGACATCGAGACGCCAAGTTACTCCGAGGACACCTTCTCTAAAGAGGATGTGTTCTTCAACACGAGCAACGCCGCTCTCAGCACAGCCCCGGTGATTCCCACCAGCTCGCAGTACGGCCTGGCCATCGTGCCATCCGAGGGCGGCAATATTAGTAATTCAGTTAACGATAGCAATATCAATACTCTGGACATTACGTCTGTCACCGACAAACAGGACGCTGATCTGCGAGATGTTCACTCACATGGTAGAAACGAGAGGTTCAAAGTGGTGAAGATCGAGAGCACGGAGCCCTTCAAGAGAGGACGGTGGACCTGTATGGATTACCTCGACCATACATCTGTCAATCAGCCAATGGCCATCGGCACACCAAAGGTATCTGATCCAAACGAGGTGTGCATATCGTACGGCGTGACCGACAGTGGGATTGTTATACCAGAGACTGCAAAGCAATCTGTAGTGACAGTGACTGACGATAAAGGGATTAATATTGACACTAATGGACCAGATTCAGTGCACTCATCGATCACTGTGTCAAATAATCCCACGCAATCGGCATCAAGTGCAAGCTATGCGGTAAATAATTCAATATCTCCCAATGTACAGCATAATCCTACACAAACCCAGGCTAAAACGCAGCAGCAAATTCCGCAATATTTTCAATCTCAAACTCAACCGATAGCTACACAGCAGCAACAGCAGCAGCAACAACAGCAACAACAACAGCAACATCAACAGAACAGCCAAGGCTCTACATTACCCTCCAATCTGCAGACCACTCATCCGAACAATTTAGGGCAGCCTCCTCAGAGTATGCCTCAAGGATCTATCCCCATTATTACTAGTAATAGCACAGTAACCCCCCAGCCAAGTATACCTCACTCCAAGGAAGAAGCTTATGTAACGGTGAGCACTCAGAATCAATCCTTGCCAGTCCAGAATGTCTGCCAGTCGACAGTGCAACAAACGTCAGCTCCAAACTCTCAGGCTCCAAACATTCTCGTCACGCAGCACCAACAGTCGGAAGCAGCTTCCTGCCAGCAGCCCTTGCCGACGCAGCAACCACAAATGACACAAATCTCCGAGCCACTGACTGCCATACAAGGGATACAAAATATGCAGAGTATTCACAAGACGGCTGGGGCGCCGCAACAGTCACAAGCGATTGCACCCTCGACACAGCAGTTGCAGCCACAAACGACTAATGGTAACGCTCCAGTGCAGATCACACAAATGACAGCCGGTTGTCAGAGTGCTGTCGGTGGCCTGCAACAGCAAGGAAACATGACGTTTCATCAATCCGACCCGGAACAAGAATCCATCTCCGGTATTGTTGCTAACAGTACTACCGGACTTCAGTCGGCAGATGCAACTCTCCTTGAATCATTAGCGGAGGTTACGCAGGGCAGCGATGAGCATCGTACTCTCGAAGATAACGAAAGGTACTTGAAATAGGGATATGAAATAGGGATACTTGTAAAGAATTTAATTTGTTTGAATAAACAAATAAACTGTATTTGTTTGTAACAAATTTGTATAGCTTTCTATCGCTTTTTTTTATTGTCTCTTATTGTAGTTTAATAATTAAATAAGTTTATATGAACATTACATGTACATTGCAGTATGTCGGGGACGAGTGCAGTGGCGATTGATAACAAGATCGAGCAGGCCATGGTAAGAAATTGCTGTAATAGAGACATTTACTGCTCATTACTTTAATGGATGATAACTGTATTATAATTTTTTCTAGGATTTAGTTAAAAGTCATTTAATGTTCGCGGTACGGGAAGAAGTTGAGGTATTAAAAGAGAAAATAGCTGAACTTATGGATCGTATCAATCAACTGGAAGCAGAAAATTCAATATTAAAAGCACACGCAACTCCAGAAACATTGACACAATTGAGTCAGTCGACAGCAAAATTACCCCAAAACAATTCAGGAAATGGTCAATAGGTAACCATTGTACATAAGTTTCTATCGATACTTTGTCAAGTAAATAATGGATAATATAATTATTGTATATAACTTTACGATTTTTAGAAATTTATAAATAATGAGATTTATTATATATAAAAATATATATTAGCATTAGACACATTTTTTTAAGTAAACTAAAGATAATGGATTATTTTTTACTATTTCAGTTTACCGTTTAGGAAATATATTTAAAATCGTAAATTGAAGCTTTTTCCCTCTTTTTCAAAAAATGACAAATCATTTTGAAGATATATCTATTATTCCAGATAGAGAGTAACACATACGAAAATATACGAGTACATGCCAAGACTATAAGCAGCGCTGATGTGATAGAATTGACATTATTTTACATTAGAAACGTGATTTTTAATATTAACAAATAATTAAAGAGAAATAACAATACAACAGGATAGGCAGTTTGATATTCCTATATTATTTTTTCCATTATTTTTTAGTATTATTTAGATAATTTAAATGATTGATTTTATCAAATGTATTTAGCAGCATAAAAGAAGACTAAGTTTAACGACATTTATTAAGCATCATTTAAATTATCGACACTTTAATTTTTAATTATTTTTTTAGTCTATTTCTAAATAGATATTGATGACGAATTTTGTCAACGTTCATCATTTTTGAGTATCAAATCTTATTTTATAATCTGATCCATA